AAGGTTGGATGAGTGGATATGTGGATGGGGATTTGAGGAGGTAGCATGGCATGTTGGAAAAAAACACATTTTAGAATCTGACAGACCTGGGTTCTGACCCCAGCTCCTCCACTCAGTAGCTGAGTGACATTGGGCAAGTATGGTAGCCAAGGTGGCTCACCCTTCAAGAAAGAACTTGATCGACGGTGAGGAATGCATTTGGCCAACAGCCCATAGCTGCAGTACCTGCAACTAATATTTTTTGGGGATTGAGGTCACATTCTTTTCGGGCAGCCGCCCACCAATGACTAAGCATGGGGGGTGGCTACTAGAGCCTGGCCATTTCCACCCACTCCTCTCATGGCAATCTTTTTTTTTTTTCTTAATTGAGATAAAATTCACATAACACAAAATTCACCACTTTAACCATTTTAAGGTGTATAATTCAGTGGCATTTAGTGCAATCACACTATTGTGCAACTATCACCTCTATCTAGTTCCAAAACATTTTCATCAGCCCTCAAAGACGTGATTAAGCAATCACTCGCCCTTCGCCCCTCCCTCCAGCCCCTGGCAACCACCTACGAACATTCTGTTTCTATGGATTTGTTGACGGGAAATCTTTGCACTTCATCTCCCCAGTGGGGCTGGCTGGGGTTTCTCAGAGCTTCACAGTCTGAAGCTCTTCCAACCCACGCCTTCCTTCCCCGTCTCCTTTCCCACGGGGCAGACCGACCTCCCTGCCTATTTCTGCTCCCTCTCCCCTTTATCTTTACTGGCATCACCCTCCAATAAATCCCCAGCATTGCTAACGCCATTGCAGCATTTTCTTCTGGGAGGACCTAACGACCCAGCAAGACTCTTTCTCGGAGCCCCAGCTATCTACTCTACAAAGCAGTGCAACTTCTACAGGGCTACAGGATGCTCCACAGAAACACCGAACGTAACCCGGAGGACCCAACAAAGTTAATATCTAACTTTATATAGCATTTACTACGTGCCAGGCACTGTTTTTTTGTTTTTTTTTTTTTAATTTTTTTTTTAACTTTATTTATTTTTTTCCCCCAAAGCCCCAGTAGATAGTTGTATGTCATAGCTGCACATCCTTCTAGTTGCTGTATGTGGGATGCGGCCTCAGCACGGCCGGAGAAGCGGTGCGTCGGTGCGCGCCTGGGATCCGAACCCGGGCCACGAGCAGCGGAGCGCGCGCACTTAACCGCTAAGCCACGGAGCCGGCCCAGTCAGGCACTGTTTTAAGTCCTTGCATGGACTCACTCTTGAACCCCTGCAACTGCGTGAGGGAGGCACCATTATGATCCTTGCTTTTACAGACCAGAAAATAGAGACGCCTGCATCCCCGGCCTGGGCAGGTTCCCCTCTCTGGGAAAAATGGTCCCCACCAATCAGAAGCGATTTTCTAAACATGAAAGTGCAGTATCATCTCACCCAGAGGAAGACCACAGCCGCTTCCCCTTGGCTGAGCCAGCTGTCAGCCCCAGTTTCTGGAAGGATCCGGAAGACTCTGGGCCCCCAACCTGCGAGTGGACAGTGGGAGGAGCCCAATTCCCAAACTGAAATTAGCCCACCAGGCTTGAACCTCCCCTCCCCTGGTCCTCTCAGGGACGTCCTGAGGATGTCACACAGCCAGCAAGGGGCCACCAGTAAGCCTAGCCTTTGTGCCAAGGCATGGAGGTGGGTACTGAGGCCCAGAGCAGGGAAAAGCCTTGTCTAGGGTCACCTGGGGGTTAGCATCTTTATTTCCTTTTGAGAGAAACATGGGAATCAGACAGACACAGCCAGGTTTGAGGTGAGATGGGGGACACACGGTTACCGGCAGAGTGAGCAGCAGGTAGCCTCCAGCCCTATCTCCCCTGGGCTCCTTCATGGCCCTGTGTGACGTCCACTAGGGCACATGTCACCTGCACACAGGGAGCCCCTTGAGGACAGGGGCTGGGTCGGATTCAGGCCTGGGAAGCCAGGGACCTCGGGGAAATGTTTACTGAATGAATGAAGAAAGGAAGAATTCAGGAGGAAGATGCTGACCCACCGGCTGAAATAGCAGCCACTGAAACCAAGAGGAGGGGACGGGGAGGAGGGGACGGGGAGGAGAGGCATTTGGGGCCAGGGGCAGGGGCAGGGGAGTTTCACCAGGGCTGTTTTTGTCTGCTTGTTTGCTGCTGTATCTCCAGTGTCTAGAACAGTGCCTGGCACACAGGGGGTCCTCAGTCAATATGTGCTGACTGGCAAGAAACCAAAATCAAAACCAAAACCAGGGGCTCTGACCCCCTTCCTGCCACCAGCAGCGAAACTACACCCCCTGGAAAGAAACAGTCCCATATTGAGCAATACCCGCGGGCCCAGCACATGTCAAAGTTGAACGGTGCTTTTTTCTCCCACTTGATTCTTACCACAAACCCCCAGATAAAGACAGTGCCCACAACAGCACCTCTTACAAACACGCACGTGCAGACGCTGCTCCGAGCACTTTACACAGACTGGCTCATTGAGTCCACACTACGGCCTTCTGTGGGAGCTCCTTTCACTGTTCCCATTGCACAGATGAGGAAACTGAGGAGCAGAGGGAGGAAGCTCCTTGCCACACGTCATACCATCAGCAGGAGGTGATGCAAACCCAGGCAGTCTGGTTCCAGAGACTGGACACCCCATTTTACGGACTGAAGAACCTGAAGCCCCCTGCCCCAGGGCACTGTGGGGGGCAGAATAATGGCCCTCCAAAGATGTCCCCGTCCTAATCTCCAGGACCTGTGATGATGGCATCGTACAAGGCAAAAGGGACTTTGTGGATGTGATTAAATTAAGGCTCTTGAGATGGGGAGATGATCCTGGATTATCTGGGCGAGCCCAACGTAATCATAGGGTCCTTACAAGTGACAGAGGGGGACACCATCACAGTCAGAGAAGGGGGTGTGACGACAGAAGCAGAGTTGGAGTGAGGCACTCTGCAGACGGAGGACGGGGCCACGAGCCAAGGAATGCAGAAGCCTGTAGAAGCTGGAAATGCAAGGGAACAGATTTTTCCCTGCAGCCTCCAGAAGGAGCCAGCCATCCCAGCACCTTGACTTCAGCCCATAAGACGCATTTTGGACTTCTGACCTCCAGAAGCAGAAGCTAATAAATTTGGATTAAGCCACTTAGTTTGTGGTACTTTGTTACAGCAGCCACAGGACATTCGTACAGGCTCAGAGCTCTTAAGTTGCAGAGATGCGATTCAAACCCAAATCTTGCCGAGTCGAAAGCTCTAGATCTTGGGGAACACAGTCTCCTAGATGTGTGAAGTTTGGAATTACTCCAGATGTTTTTTCCTCAGGGTCACTGGGCTGTGTGTGTGAATGTGTGTGTGTGAGGCATACAGAGGTGAGTCAAGAAATCAGGAATTTTACTGCCACGAGGATTGGGGAATCTGGTCCATAAAGATGCCAATGACACCTCAGGGCTATCATGAGAATTAATGACATGCCATGTGGAGAACTCGGGGCCTGGCACTAAAGATGTGTCAATGGTTATTATCATTACGTCTCTTTCCTGTCTACACATCATCAGTGTCAGCTCCTGCTCAAGAACATTCCATGGCTCCCTGCTACCCTCAGGATAACATCCAAGCCCTTTACGGCAATCAAGAGCTTTGGGTTCTGCACTCTGAAGCCCAGCAGATAAGGCGCTCGACCCTCAGAGACTACCTGGACTCTACTGAGAAAGCCTTCCTGCAGCTTGCACACTCACACACATCCTCTTTCTAAGTAGCTCATGAGATTTGCCTGACCTTCCCCCACAACAAAACACACTGGCCACCATTGCTAGTTAGCCACTTCCTCTTCTGAGGCCATCATCCCCTGTGCTCCCTTCTTTATAACACCTTGTATTTGAATCGTCAGACTCCCGTGTGTCTGCCCGCCAGCCTGGGAACCCATTGAGGGCAGCGGTGAGATCTCATTCTTGATTGATCTCTGGGGCTCTGACTCAAGGAATGTTCTAGTGTCTGTCTCTTTCTCTCCCACTTTCTCATCTTTACTCTTAAGGAAGCTGGGAGATCTAAAGTCCTAGTTGCTGTAAATCCTGCAGCACATAGGAAGAGAAAACTGGGCCTCAACTCTGGAGTCCCAAGAGGTGGGACTGATGGAATATTACTCAGCCATGAAAAAGAATGAAACCCTGATGCATGCTACAACATGGATGAACCTCAAAAACATGATGCTCAGTGAAAGAAGCCAGACTCAAAAGGCCACAAAGTGTATGATTCCATTTATATGAAATTTCCAGAATAGACAAATCCATAGAGACAGGAAGCAGATCAGTAGTTGTCAGGGGCTAGGGGAGGGGAGACTGGGGGCCTGGAATCCTGGGTCCTGGGGAAGCAGAAGGAGGAGGCTGGGGCCAAACACCTGAGTCTCAAGAGAGGAGGAAGCCAGAAAGTTGCGGGCTGCTCTGTGGAAGAAAAGAAAATGTTCAGGGGAGAGGAAGCAGCCTCTTATAGGGGAGGCTTTTTGCATGGAGATGTCATCACCAAGGTCTCCCTCCACACCCACGCCTGCCTGCCGGCGGGGGAAACTCCGCTGGGCTGGTCGACAGGAAAGGAGAGGGGAAGGCAAGTGGGGGGAGGAGGCGGGGTCACCGGGCCCCACACCCAGCAGCTGAAGGACAGAAACTGTGCCCAGAAAGGAGGCTGACTGCGGGGCTGGGTTCTCCGTCCTAAGGAGGTAAGAGCTGGGGGATTGGCCCCCAGGGGCTAGAAAGGAATGCACGTGTTCTAGAAGGGACTGGGGGCCTGGATTCCCGGGTCCCCAAGGGGGAGGGGTGTAGAGAGCTGGAGTCTCTGATTTCTGGGTCCTGGGAAGGATGAGAGCTGGCAGTTTGGAGGCTGGACTTATAAAGCTGGAGGAAGTTGGGGGCCCCCGAAGCTAAGGTGCTAGGTTAGGTTCTGAGGAGACCGGAAGTGATGGTTTGGGTGTGAGGTCCTGGAGAAAGTGGCAGTCAGACTCTTGGCCTGAAAGTGTCCTGCAGGCGCTCCAGCGTGGACTTTGGCTCTGCTGGAGCGTGTCGACGCCCGCGGAGCCCCACCCCACATCCCGGCCAGTCTTCCCTGGAGCCTCTCACGCAGCCCCAGTCCCAGGACTGAGAGAGCCGGGGGAGCCTGGACAGGTGAGTCCCCTGGGGGAGCCCAGAGGCTGGCAGTGGAGGGAGGAGCTGAGAGACACTCAGAAGCTGGATGCAGGGCAGGCAGCTAGGAGAACCTGGGAGATCAGGATTGAAGGACTGTTGAAAGACAGGGAAAGTGCCCCGGGCTGAGAAGGGTAGGGAAAGTGCCCCGGGCTGAGCTGGCCCATCAGACCAGGCCTGCCCATTGCTTCCGCCTGGGAGCCAATGGGGGCTCAGAGGCCGTGATCTGATACACCTGGACCCTTAAGTTGCTTCGTCACCTGAGAGAGAGAGATTGATTGATTGATTCGTGGCCCCAGACCCTGCCCCTCTCTTTCCCCTGCAGAGCTAGGCATGTGGGGCTACCTGTCCCTGCTGCCTGCCTTCCTGGCCTTCTGGGCTGTCTCTGGCGTCTGGACTGTGTGAGTGGTAGAGGCAGGATGGATGCCTGGGTCCCAGGAAGGAGGGGCTGGGGCCTGGACCCCGGGGGTCTGAGGGAGGAGGGGCTGGGGGTCTGGACTCCTGGGTCTGAGGGAGGAGGGGCTGGGGGTCTGGTCTCCTGGGTCTGAGGGAGGAGGGAGCTGGGGGTCTGGACTCCCAGATCTGAGGGAGAGGGAGCTAGAAGTCCTGGTTTCTGTGAGTAACAGAAAGAAAAGTTGTCGCTGAAAGCCCTCTACTCGTTTGATGTCTCCCCCACTTCAGTTTTGCACTTTCAGTGGCCAATAAGACTGTGAACCTCACCGAAGGCTTCCCCTATATCAGGTAGTTATGGCGCTGGGGGTGGGGAGGCGGGAGGGAGGAAACGGGAGGCCCTGGCTCTGAGGAGCCACAGGATGATCTTTACCTTCCCCAGTCTCTGTGGATCTTACCCGCCTCAGAGCTGCATCTTCAGCCAGGTGCTCAACGTGGGAGCTGCTATGGGTAAATACTCCTTAGCACTTTCCGATCAGTGCGAGCCCCTCCCAGCGCCGCATCAGACCCAGGAGTCCAGGCCCCCAGCCTCCTCCTCCCCCAGACCCGGGAGCTTGGCCCCCACCCCTGGACCCCCAGTCTCTCCCCACCCCATCACCCTCCCACAACCCAGGGGTGCGGGGCCCGGGTCTCCTGCCCACTTCTCTCTCCTCCCAGCCGCCTGGATCTGCATTCTCCGTTACCACCAGCTCCGGGACTGGGGGGTCGCAAAGTGGCTTAACCAGCTGATCCTGTGGTCGGGGATCCTCTGTGCCCTGGGCACCTCCGTGGTGGGAAATTTCCAGGTGAGATGGCTCGTGGAGGCCAGGCCAGGTGGCCAGGCAGAGTCTGGGACTACAACTCCCAGCATCCCCTGGGGCCACAAGCTTCTGGTTTCAGGGGCTCGTCCCCGCACGGTATTCTGGGACTTGTATTTCTCTTGTGGCTCTCGGGCCGTGGAGGGCATTGGGTTCTTCTCAACGGAGCCCTGCGTAGGAAGCTCTTTATAACTATTCCAACTGGAGGAGGTTGAGGTAATTTGCTGCCATCCTCCACCCCCTTTAATGATGAAATTACTCAGATTCACTCATTCTTAGTGTTTGCCCCATTGATTGAGCATCCACTCAGTACGAGACCCCAGACTTTACATTGCCTACATGATTTTCATCCATCTCCACAAGAACTCTAGGTGGATCTAGAGAGATTTTTTTATCAGCTGGTCCGTGGTGGTCAGAAATGAACCCAAGATTCATAGACTCTCGAACCCACATTCTATTTTTTTTTTTTTTTTTTTGGTGAGGAAGATTGGTCCCGAGCTAACACATCTGCCCATCCTCCTCTTTTTGCTGAGGAAGACGGGCCCTGGGCTACATCCTTGCCCATCTTCCTCCACTTTATATGGGACGCCACCACAGCATGGCTTGACAAGTGGTGCCTCAGTGCGCACCCGGGATCTGAACCGGTGAACCCCAGGCCGCCGCAGTGGAGCGCGCACACTTAACTGCTTGCACCACCGGCCGGCCCTTCGAACCCACAATTCCTAACCACGAGGTTCAGTAGATATCTGCAGAATAAACAAATGGACAGGCAATAGGAGAAATCTTATTGATTTATTTTGTTATAATTTTATTCTTTTAAAAAATTCCCCATCCCATTTGCACAGCAGTTCATTTACTCATTCATTTATTTCCGTGTTCCTCAACTTTTCTTTTTCTTCATTATATCGCTCCCCTAAGGAGCCTTATTTAGACATTTTCTCCTAATCATTCCTTCCCCTCCAAGAAATTTTTTTTTTTTTTGTAAGGAAGATAGCCCTGAGCTAACATCTATGCTAATCCTCCTCTTTTTGCTGAGGAATACCAGCTCTGAGCTAACATCTATTGCCAATCCTCCTCCTTTTTTGTCCCCAAAGCCCCAGTAGATAGTTGTATGTCATAGTTGCAGATCCTTCTAGTTGCTGTATGTGGGACGCGGCCTCAGCATGGCCAGAGAAGCGGTGCGTGGGTGCGTGCCCCGGATCCGAACCCGGGCCGCCAGTAGCTGAGCGTACGCACTTAACCACTAAGCCACGGGCCGGCCCAAGATATTTTTAACATTTAAAAAATTTAACATAATATATACTATATGTCTGAAAGCCACAAACCATTGTATTATGTAAGAATTGTTCGCCCTTCAAAAACCAATTTTTACCCTCTTGGTGGCAATAGCTGCTCTCCTGCATGGCAGTTGAGAATAGAAGATTTACATTTATTAACAAGATTTATTCTGCTAGTATTTACTGAGCGTCTACTATGCGGCAGGCACTGTCTTTAGGGACTGAGCCCCCCACCCCCGCAGTGAATAACAGATTTAAATCCCGCCCTGGGGGAGCTGACAGAAGCCAATGCACCTCGTCAATAAGCTGATCACCAGCTATGGCCACCTTCAATCAGAGTCTGTTGGGTTGGTCGAGGACCCGTGCCCCCATCGTGGCCATTGCCCGCCCACAGGTCTTCCCCTCAACTCTCCTCTCTCCTCCTCCCAGCAAAAGAACCAGCTGCCCACGCACCTGACAGGGGCCTTCTTCGCCTTCTTCGTGGGCAACCTCTACTTCTGGCTCCAGCTCCTTGTCTTCTGGCGAATGAAGAGCCTGCCCCAGCCCGGGGCTCCCTGGATCGGGCCACTGCGTCTGGGCCTCTGCAGCGTCTGCACCATCCTCATAGTGGCCAGTATCCTTCCCGGGGCCGGGGCCGGGGCCGGGGCCGGGGGCCGGGGGCGGTTCGTCACTGGGGAGGGTCTGCTGTGTGCTGTTGCAGATACCTCTTCCTTTCTCGGCCCCAGTCTCTGCGGCGCGATGATGGGATTATGGCGCAGAGAGTGCTGGCTCTGGGGTCACCCTGCGTGGATTGGAATCCCACCTCCTCCACACGCTAGCTGGGGGAAGCGCCGCTGGTTTCTTAACTTGCCTAAAGTTTCCTCATCTATCAGATGCCGATGACAGGGGGATCCCAGAGTTGTAAGAAATGAAAGAGATGGTAGCTGTGAGGTGCTTGGATCAGTGCCCAGGACGTAGTGAGTGACCAATAAATATTGGGAGAATGATCAACCAATGACAGCGGTGCGTTTGGGGCATCCGCTCTGTGCCAGTCATCGTGCTGGCTAAGACTGGAAATGAGGTTCAGACAGGGAACGTCTCTTGGCCAAGACCCATCGTGAAGTTCGATGGCGGAGCTGGTGGTGGTCTGCAGGCAGCTGGTGTGGGCTCTCAAGAGAAGTCTGTGTCTCTCTTCCCACCTGCATGTTGGGTGATGTCACGTTAGTAGCTTGTGATGGCCATGCTGGGAGTGGACATTGGCATGGATACACCATGGACATTGGCCAATGCTACAGATCAGAGCTGGTTGTTAAACATTTACCAGCACACCACTGGGTGGAGCTTCGATTCCAACCAACTTCTGAGTCGCCCCAGAACCCAGACTCTTTCCACTAGCCCGACACACCTCTGGGTGAGTCACGTCACTCTCTGAGCCTCAGTTTCCCTATCTGTAAAATGGAGTTGCTTTCATCATAATAAGGATTATTACTGATAGAGTGCTCTGAGAGACGGGGGCCTGCAAACTCAGGCTTGGGGACCACCATCCTTTGTGGGGAGGTCGGAAGCGGGGCCGACAGGTCACTTGGCATTCAGAAGAAGCTGGGGGGAAACGAGCTGAGGTCCTGTGCTGGTTGCATTAAGTGGATCCATTTATTTGGAATTTTCCCAGCAAAATGGAGATGGCGATCCCATTTCCCCCGAGCAGCAGACCGAATCCCATGAAATAGACGGGAAGGGCTGGCCCCTCAGCTCAGCCTTGAGCTACTCCAGCTGTATAACCAGCATATCGCCTCTGCCAAGGGCCTGATAGTGATGAGATCCAGCGGCTGATAATCAGTTTGGCTGCAGGGTCCTCATTCTGTGGCTCAGATATCCGTTGGCTGTGGGAGAGGGGAAGGGAGGTGGGATCATAAAGATGGCCAGCTGAGTGTGATAAGGGCTGGACATCTGCAAAGATGGGTCTGAGACCTGGCAGATCCTGAGCTGGTCTTGCAGAACCAGCTGCTTTTGGCCTTGGTTGGGAGGGTGGAGAACACTGCAGGTGTGGAAGAGGGTGGAAAAACCAGCTTGGGGCAAGAGATGAGGCTCTGCAGCACTAAGGTGAGGGGTTAAAGCCTTGGGCTTCTGCCTGGGGGGACAATAGGGAGCCATGGATAGGTTGTGAGCAGGGGAGGATCAGTTCTGGGGCAAGCACCTTGTGCTTGGGAGCTCACATCTCTCCTTTCCTTTAAGATCCACGGGGCCGGGGTGGTGGTGGCCTGATTCACTATCCAGAAATCCTTGAATAAATGAAATAATGTCTAATCTGATCTAGGAGAGGAGCTAGCTTGGTGAAAACAGAGGCTCTCTGCTCCGCAGGAGCTTGGAGGATGCAGGGGCTGGCGGGGTAGAGAAAGGCTTTAAGGAGCCAGAACTGGGGAGCCAGAGAAGGGACAGGGCAGACCAGGAGAGAGAGATGAGAGGCCAGAAAGAGATGGGCAAGGCCGCTGGGACAAGACTTGGGGTGACCAGCTGGCCTTGGGGGATGAGGAGGAGGGAGGGGGCGAGGAGGATTCCCCAGGGTCCGCATGGGGGCATGAGTTGTCACAGAGGTGGGGGCACCCAGAAAGAGGAAGATTTTAGGGGGAAGATGAGATTCTGTTTGGGAGTGAGCAGGAGCAAGCTGCAAACACAGCCTGAGGCTGGCGGGTGGGGTGGGGGTGTCTTGAGGAAACTCTGCATATTTGGAGTTGGAAGCAGTGGCAGCTATGGCCGGGTCAGTGGGGCGATGTCGGAGCCTTCGCGGGGTCAGGACAGGCCAAGGGGAAGATGAGAACCTTGTTCTGGGATACTGGGAGTGCCAAAGGGAAAACATTTGGGAAACAGCTTGAGATAGAGACGGGGATCGGAGGGCAGCCCTTTGAGAGTGTCCAGGAGCCACCAAGGACAGTGGCCAGCCAAAGGGGTCATCCCAGCCAGGGCAGGGTGGGCATGTCACGAGAGGGTACCTAGAGGCGGCCTCAGCCTGCCCGTGGTCACACAGCCATCCGGCTGGGCTCCCAGATCCTTCCTTTGGCGGTGTGCCCTTGACGCTGCTGTGAAGTGGTCATCCTCCACAGCTGGCCGCTGCGCTCTGCCTCCGCTGCCTGCGAGTGGGCGGTGGCCATGCTGCTCTTCGTGCTCTTTGGCCTCTTGGCTGTTGACTTCTCTGGATTGGAAGGCTGCACCTTGTGTCTCCAGCAGGGCCCCAGCCTCAGCCCCCCGCCGGCCTCCCCCATGTTCCTGCAGGCCCAGCTCTGACCCCGGCCTCCCCCTCACGGGAGGAGGAAGAAAGCAGCAGCCAATCCTGGACCTCTCCGCGCCCCCCAAGATGAGCTGTGGGGGAAGCGTGTCTATTCACTGCTTGGAACCCAGTGGGTGCGTGTGCGCCACGGGGCTGTGAATCTCCGGTCTGCGCCAGCATCTTGGTGCCTCCTGTCCCTGCCGTCTGGCCCCACGCCTGCAGTCAGGGCCACCCAGGAAGCGAGAGGCCAAGGCCAGCCAGCCATCCCTGATCAAGGCTATTTATTATTATTATTATTAATTTTTTTTTTTGCCGCCGGCGGAATCAGAGACACGGACGCAGGCAGGATCACGCGAAACCAGAATTCCTTCCGGAGAGCAAATCCGTACAGAAGGTCGTGGGGGGAGGGGGAGGACCGGGGGAGGGGGGCCCAGGAAAGGGGAGTTGGGGACACAAGGACAGATGGCCCTGTCCCTCCGGATCTGCTAAGCCACCCCAACCAGCCCCCGTCCCTCCCCCACCCCACCCCGCAGAGAGATCGATCAATAAATAAAATAATAAATTAATCAATAAATAAAATAGAAACAGCTCCCCCACCCCCAGCCCCCCTAGAACCACCCCCCTTGGGCACAGCCCCCTGAGCCCCATCCCTGCAGGGCAAGGCCGAGTTTGTTGTGTCTCCCCCCTCCCTACATATTCGTTGGGCCCTATTTACAGATTCACAGTTGGGGGGCAGGGAAGGGGGGTGGAGGGGGCTCCCCTCCTTCCCCAGCCCCCTGGGGTCAGGGCAGAGGGGTCCCATTGGTGGCCAGGAGTTTCTTGTCCTTAGGCGGGCCTCGGCGGGGAGAGCTGGTCAGCTCCGGGTCTGGGCGGCCGGGTGGGGGTTGCAGGCTTCGGGGCGGGGTGCCGGCAGGCCGGGTCTGGGCCCCGTTCTTCTCGTCTGTGGGGGAGGAAGCAGTCTGGCCTCAGTACCCCCAAGGCCACCAAGCCCTGGGGAACGTGTGCCAGCAACATCGTGGTGAGGCCAGAGCCCCAAGCCTGGGGAGAGGGTTGCCAGGGGGACACACACCAGCAACCAGGCCTGGCGACCCCAGGACATCAGGCCATGCATCCTAGGCCCTCCAGCCCTATGGCTTTGGAAACGGGGCGAAGTCAGTCCTGGTGAGACCAGGCAGCCCGACTTCAGGAGACACTCCCAGACTCTGGTCAGGACCCTATTTGCTAAGGGACTGCTTGTCACATCAGCAGACAAGAGGCGAGTCCCCCAGACCACAGGCAGAGGGGCCTCCTTCCCTTCTGCCATCCTTGTTGTTAGGGGGGATGCTCCTTGGCAGTGGGGCCTATGGGAACCTACAGTGGTTGTCTGGGGGGTCTCAAGTCCTTCCAGCTGGGCCTGCCTGACAGGGGTCACCCTTTTGTGGGGCCTGACTTCCCCAGGCTAGGGGACTACAGTGTTGCCGGAGATCATCTAGCAATTTCTATAGGGTCTGAAACAGTACCTGAGGCCCCCTAGCAGAGACTGGCCCCCTTAAGAGACACCAACGCTCTAGGCTTGGTTGCCATAGCAACTGATAAGGCTGTTTCCCTTCGGGGCAGACTGGGAGGTGGGAGGTCGCCCCCTGCCCCATTCCCCATTATAACACATGTGGCTAAGGCCCCGGATGGATGCCTGTTGGTCCTACATCTTTGTGGGTATGTTCTTTGGGGAACCCTGGTGGGAAGGCCAGCTTTCCTTGGCAACTGGGTCTAGAGAGGTTCAGGGGGTCTAACCTGCCTTCTGGTTGCCCCAGGCAACCAGGCCTGGTGGCGAATGACAAGAGCAGAGTTTCTTCAGCTCCCCACTAGTGACATTTGGGGCTGGGTAATTCCTCGCTGTGGGGGCCATTCTGTGCACTGTAGGATGTTTTGCAGCATCCTGGCTTCCTACCCACAAGATGCCAGTAGCATCCCCTCTCCCCGCAGGTTTAGACAACCAAAAACATTTCCAGACATTGCCAAATGTCCCCTAAGGGGCTGTGGATGGCAGAATGCTCCCCTCCAAAGATGTCCCCGTCCTGACGCTGAGATACTGTGAATGTGCTACCTTATAAGGCAAAAGCAACCCTGCAGTTGTGATTAAGATTAAACCCCTGAGGTGGGGAGACTATCTTGGATGATCTGGGTGGGTCCAGCTTAATCTCAGTCCTTGAAACAACCTTCCCGGGCTAAGGTCAGGGTCAGAAGGAAATGCCAGCACAGAATGACATCACCAGCTTTGAAGATGGGGGAAGGGCCATAAGCAAAGGAAGCGGGGAGGCTTCTAGGAGCCTCTAGGAGTCGGAAAGGCAAGACCAGACTCTGCCCCAGAGCCTCCAGGAGGGAGGGCGGCCCTCCAGACACGCTGATCTTAGCCCAGTGAGACTGTGGGACCTCTGACCTCCAGGACTGTACCAGAATAAACAGGTGTTGTTTGAACCACTGAGTTTGTGGTCGTTTGTGACAGCAGCCACAGGAAACTAAAACAAGAGTGAAACAGGCCCCCAGTCGAGAACCACTGCTCCCTAGCAGTCCTGACCCTGGGACTCGGTGCTCTCCGGTGACAAGGCCACCCAGGCTCCTACCCTCATTGCTGGGGTCCTGCTTGCCTGCTCCCTTTCACCGTGGGGACTATGGGACCCCTATTCCGAGAGGAGGTGGTGCCATGTCTCAGGAACGGGGCTGAGCAGGAACCCTCTTCCCTTAGGAATTCTGGTTATCCCTGGTTGCTAGCGCAGGCACACCTTAGCAACAAAGCCTGCCCAAATTTGCTAGGGAATTCTGCTCCCTCACAACCAGGCTGGTGGGCCCAGGCAAGCCCCACCTCCCTGAGCACAGGTCATGCACACTCCCCGTGAGCTCAGTTTAGGACAGTGGGCAGGGGAGGCCTGAGTCCTTGAAAGCCAGGCCCAGCCAGGCCAGAAAAGGCTGAGCCTCTGCAGAGAGGGTGACCAACCTGTCTGGGTTTTAGCACCGAAAGTCCTGCATCCCGGGAACCTCTCAGTCCCAGGCACACTGGATGGTCGGTCACCCTCCTCCAGAACATATTTCCGGAACCTCTTTTGGCAGGAAGTCCCACTATCCCCAACACAGAGACCAGTCGTCCTCTTAGGGACCCCTGGAGGTCCTCTCCCTAGCAATGAGGTCTTCTCAGGCTCAGGATGGCCTGGTTCCCATGGAGCTCAGGCCCCAGCCTCTCCGGGAACCTGCTCACAGCTCTGCAGGTAAGGCCCCAACACAACAGTGACACTATGACAATACGTGGGCCTTGCTTCCCCACAGCTGCAGCCCTGCCAGCAAACCAAACCCTGCAGCACGTGGTCACCAGGAAGCCTCCCCTCTGCGCCTCGGGATAGAAGAGGGAGGCAGCCCCGCAGCCCTCGCCTCCTACCTGCCAGGGCCTGCACGGAGGGCTGGTCATGAGTGCTCAGCAGCTGTGCCTGGATGGTCTCCACCACTCTCTTGAACCGACGGCTGGGACCTGGAAGGGGCAGAGAAACAGACCCACTTGGGGACAGGGAAGGCAAGGCCCTCCTGCCCTGTGGAACCCCGTCCCTCCACTCCGCAAAGGACTCTCTTCCTCTTGGTCTCAATTTCCCCCCTCTGTTGGGGCCAGGCATAAATCCTAAGAAAGGTTTGACTTAAAATGAGTGTTTGTTTTTTCTTTGTGAGGAGGACCAGCCCTGAGCTAACATTCAATGCCAATCCTCCTCTTTTTTGCTGAGGAAGACTGACCCTGGGCTAACATCCATGCCCATCTTCCTCTACTTTATATGGGACGCTGCCACAGCATGGCTTAACAAGCGGTGCGTCGGTACGCACCCAGGATCCGAACCGGCGAACCCTGGACCACCTCAGCGGAGCACGCGCACTTAACCGCTCGCGCCACCAGGCGGGCCCGAGTGTTGCTTTCTATTTAAAATGTAAGATAAATAAATGGGAAGGAAAAAAAATCTTAAAATCGAGAAAGATCTGCATCTTAGTCTTTAAGGGAAAGAAAAAAAGTGCCATAATTCATTTTGGTGATGTAACACCCCAGCATTCCACAGCAGCCTGATTTAAACACTCCAGGAGCAAGCTCATCTCCTAGCTGTAACATATTAAGACTGGTGACAAGGATAGCAAACAGAGGTATCCCTTGTTATCTAAACTTGTTATAATGACTCAGGAATCAAGTAGAATTGGAAGCAAGGCATTTCTGTGGTTTTCATCTCTTGTGCCAACTCTTGATTGCTCGTGGCTGCCTGGAGTTTCTGAGGTGGGAGCTGAGCTCAGCAGGAATAAGTACTGTGATGGATTGGTGATGTCTGCTCTGGGTGCAGGAATGAGGTTTTACAGCAGCACACCCTCTGTGTACAGTCTTAAAGTAGTAGGAAGAGCTCTGCGCTATGAGGTCAGCAGGCCTAGGTTGAGCCCTAGCCCTGTCAGGGTTTGCAGTGTGACTCCAGTCAAGTCAATTTACCTCTTTAGGACTCGGTTTTCTTATCTGTAAAATGGGTGATTACTAACACCCCAAAGGCTGCTGGGAAGCTTCCAGGAAATCATGCATATAATGCACAGGACGTGTTGTAAATACCCATCAAATGTTGATGAGGGGAGGGGGAAGGAAAGGATGTGGGGGTGTGAGAGAGGAGGGGCTCACAGAGTCAGCACCAGCTGAGCACGATCTCCTCCTCCCTCTTGCTGCCCTCCTGGGTTGCTATCTTATCTCAGCTGTCTTGAGCATCCTAAACACCAGGCTGGGGCAGTCTAGTTGAGGGAAACTTACCGGAGATCAGAGTAAAGGTGACAGAGTAGATGCCACCACCACCACTGCCGTCCCGTCGGGAGGAGGGCTCGGGACCCTCAGAGGAGCTGATGTCCACCTGGAAGCGGACGGGCTTCTGGAAGACGGAAGGGCCGCCACTGGCCTTGTACTCGGCCCTGAAGCTGGTCTGTGACAGCACACTGTGACTCAGGCTGGGGATCTGAGAGAGGTGGGGGACAAAAGGAAAGGGTGATTCCTGATTCCAGGGAACGGATAAGCAACCCTATAACCAGCTCTGCCCAAGGGACTACAAGTCCCATCAGCCACTGGGGGAAAAGAATAACAGAAAAGGCATTGGGAGTCCCCATTGCCTGCTAGGATCCATAGCT